GCGGTTCAAACCCACCAGCCACTCCTCAGAAGGAAGATTGGGTGATCTAACCACCTCAGAAACCCAAGGAGGGGTCACTATGAGTTGGATCTGACTCGATAGCTGTGAGTTTTAGGGTTTTTTTTTTTGTGTGTGTTTTATTGACTATAGGAAAGCATTTGATTTTGTGGATCATAACAAATTATGGATGACACTGAAAAGAATGGGAATTTCAGAACACTTGATTGTGCTCATCAGTAACCTGTGCATAGACCACGAGGCTGTTGTTTGAACAGAACAAGGAAACACTGCATAATTTAAAATCACGAAGGGAGTGCATCAGGATTGTATCCTTTCACCATACTTATTCAATCTGTATGCTGAGCAAATAATCTGAGAAGTGGGACTATGTGAAGAAGAATGTGGGATCAGGATTGGAGGAAGACTCATTAACAACCTGCGACACGCCTATGACACAATTTTGCTTGCTGGAAGTGAGGATGACTTGAAGCACTTACTGATGAAGACTGAACATTGAAGTCTACAGTATGGATTACACCTCAATATAAAGAAAACAAAAATTCTCATAACTTGACCAATAAGCAGCATCACAATAAATAGAGAAAAGATTGAAGTTGTCAAAGACTTCATAATACTTGGTTCTACAATCAACATCAATGGAAGCAGCAGTCAAGACATCAGACAATGTATTGCACTGGGCAAATCTGCTTCAAGAGACCTTTTTCAAATGCTGAAGAGCAAAGATTTCTCCTTGAAGACAGGTGTGCCTAACCCAAGCCATGGTATTTTCAATCGCTACATAAACATGTGAGAGCTGGACAATAAACAAGGAAGACAGAAGAAGAGGTGATGCTTTTGAGTTGTCATGCTGGTGACGACTACTGAAAGTACCATGGATTACTAAAAAAGAACTAACAAATCTGTCCTGGAAGAAGTGCAGTCAGAATGCTCCTTGGAAGCAAGAATGGCCAGACTTTCTATCACCTACTTTGGTCATGTTATCAGAAGGGACCATTCTTTGGAGAAGGACATCATGTTTGGTCAAGTAGAGGGTCAACAAAAAAGGGGAAAGCCCTCAATAAGATGGATTGACACAGTGGCTGTATCAGTGGGTTCAGGTATGGCAAGGATTGTGAGGCTTGCACTGGACCAAGCTGTGTTTCATTCTGTTGTACATAAGGTCACTATGTACCAGGGACAACTCGAGGGCACCAAACAGCATAACAACAACACACTTCCCTGAATTTGTTATGTACCTCTTTGTGTAAGACACTCCCTCTACCTCCAGCTAGACTTTCCAAACATAAAGTAGAATTTACATCTCTTATATATCCCTATTAGAAGATGATTTTGTTGATCCTTACTAGTTGTTTGAATTACATAAATTTTGAATTTTTCAAATAAGAAGTTGTTTTATAATGCTGAATAAACTATTTCAAAATAACACTGACAATTGTGACAAATACTAATGTAAGATGTTAATAAAGGAAACTGTGTGTGGGGTATATGGGAACATTCTTTGCTATCTTTGTAACTTCCATAAATCTAAAACTATTCTAAAATAAAATGTTTATCTTTATTAAAAATTACAATTTTGAACGCTTCCTCTCCTTGCATCTTTTTTCTTATCTCCTCTCTGAATCATCTTTCCTTTCCTCACTTTTGAAACCTGTGGTTCTTAATCCTACTCCCCACCCCTGGCTGTCTCCTTCTGGAAAAACTGAAGAATTATTAACTCTGCTCTTAGAGTTTCTCAAAGGTCATTCTACCAGCTCTTCTTTCTATTGGGATTCAGGCCCAAGTAACAGTTTTCTGCACCTATTGCACTTATTTATTCTTTAAGTGAAGTTCATTTTAAATTTTTATTTAAATTTAATAGTACAGACTTTTACAAAACACTAATTGTTGATACAAAATTTTAGTGAAGTCATGATAAGTAGAATCTTATGTAATGGCTACAGAATTACTTAAAGCATAAAGTTGTATTTTCTTTATCAAAAAGAAAAGAGAAAAACGATTTTAAAGAAAGAGCCTCAAGAGCATTGGGGAAAAGCACAAATCTATCAAAACCTGCTATAACATGACTGCACAGGACTACTTAAACAGGCATGATATTTAAAACCCCAATCTATGCTACACATTTTCACTTTTGCTGACATTAAGTGTGTATTGATACTAGAGAAAATTTGATACATGTGAGGGTTATAGGATCTGGCCATGATGTCAGTAACATATCAATGAGGATTTACATCACTATAAACCTCTGCTCTATTGTGCTCTATGTCTGTGAGCACTCCGAACAAGAGAAATCATTTCTGTTCAGGAATAGGATACTTTTGTCATTCTAACTTTCTTTTTCAAACGTGCTTCATAATCTAGTGTGGTGACATGCAAAATTCTCTCTATTGGGGGAAAAAAAAAAACCAAAACCCTCCTTTTCCATTGCTATTGTACCAATATAAAAATTCTCCTTCCTGGAAAACATGCATCATTCATTTCATCAACATGATCTTTTTCCTTATAATAATAAAATTCAAAATATCTTTATGTTTTATATAAAAATCTTTCCTTAAAGAGATGAGATGGGTAGGTATGTATACTCACATACATGCAACCTTCACATGTATTAAACTTTAAATATTGAAAGGTATTTAAGTTTTGCTTTTCTAAATATAGTGCATGTTCTTTTGATATAGAGTAACAGTCACGGTTGAACCATGACTAGATGTAGAGGTTATCTGTTATGTCATTGTTACAACATTTGCCTCAGCTACATAAGACATTCTACCTTGGGAATAAAATGATACACACTATTTGTAGAAAATAATCATTGGCTCCATTATTTTAAGTACTCAGAATAAACAGTACTGGCCTCTGCTGGTTACTGACATAGTGATGATCAGGGATCCATCTTCAAAGGCTGCAAAGGGACTCCTTTTATCCAGAGGCATTTAAAGCTACTTGGGAATTTTGTTGCTGTTGTTTATCTGTTGACAGTGACAGTTATCATTTGATGAAGTTGCCAATGATGAAAGTCTCTAGCTGTAACTATGGACTTAAATGGATCCAAATTATAGCCCTAAAATTTGCCATTTTTCAGACTAAATCAATTGAAATATTTTTAATATTACAATTTAAAAAGAATCTTATCTTTCATTAACTAGGGGTTGAGAGTAAGAAGAGAGTTGATAAATTTCAGCTAAATTTTTAAGAGTAATAACTGAACACAACATATATTCTTTGAAGTTTATTTGTATTATTATCTCATATGAATCATCTGTTTCATAAACTGCAATTGAGATTACTTGACTACCTGGCAAATACAACCTAGATCTTCATAGAAATTATAAATGTTCTACCCAAAAAGTACTGTGTATCCAAGTAAAGACATTTATACAAAATTTTAAATCTTGTGTATTTGTTACCTAACAATTCTACAAAGAAAAATAGTGTATTTGTAATTTAATAATGTTGGGATTATATTCTCCCTCTAAGACGGTAGTGTAGTGCCTAAGGCACTTGACTGCTAACCAGAAGACTGGCGGTTCAAACCCACCAGCCACACCTTAGAAGGAAGATGGGGCAATCTACTTCCTTAGTGATACTGCCTCAGAAACCCAAGGAGGGGTTGCTATTAGTCTGGTCCTACTCGACGGAACACAACAACAACAACAACAACAACAAGCTAATATAAACATCCTTTGAAAATGTATGCTAAAGATAGAAAACTACAGGAATGTTTTCTACCTTTTCTGATAGACTCAACAAGCGAGTTGGCTATCAGTACAACCCAAGCTTCCTTCTGATTGTCTCTAAAGGGTCTTAGTCTGACCAATGGAAATAATCCCTAGAATACTCAGGCCATTATTTTCAATGGCAATTGGTGGTCAATACTGATTAAGACCAGTAAAGTTCTTTTGCTCCCAGATGTTTACATCAAGAACCTGGATTACACTACAAATTTAAAAGACAGAAAAGAAATTGAAGACCCCCAGAGGCTAAAATACCTCCAGTGCTAAAGGAGTGAAGACACAGAGATACACAGAGACTTACTCTTGCATTTGTCCAAAAGGGCTTAGAATATTGAATCCTAAAGGACACCACTGTATAAAATTGCCAATACAGAAGGAATAGAGAATAACTCATTGATATTGAATATAATTTTGGGAGTAAGAGTTTATCTACCATAGCGTGGTGAAGAGTCCTATTGATGCCAGTAAGCGGGGATTCAATCTATTGAGATCAAAACCTCCTGTCACTACCTGTAGTAGGTGTCTGTAAAAAGTAGAAAAACAACTTACCAACCTCAAATATATTTGAAATAGTGACCATGTATATCTCATGAGCTAGTGAATATTTTATAAAGTGTCAACATTGCCTATGTAATAGGTTGTATTTTTTGTACTTGTTGCTTTTTCTTTTCCCTCTCTCCCTCCTTTCTTTTCTTCCTTCCTTCCTACTTTCCTTCCTTGAAGGGGTTTATATCATGAACTTCCAGTAGAAAGCATTTTTCACTACATTTTGGAGAGGCATACACTCCAAGCTATATAAAATGTTCTAATCTGTGCTTGAAGGTACTACCATTTTAGGGAGTAATAAGTACATTTTGTGTACAGGTTGCCTTTCTGAAATACTTTCTTTTTCAATTATCAAATACCTTTCTTGTCAAGATAGTGCAGCAGTGTTTGGAAAGCATTAGCACACCAACAGATGCTCAGAATCAAATGACTTAATAGGCATAAACTTTTTTTTTCAAATAATTGCAAAACTTCAGTTTAGCCTTTTGCATACCTTGCATAGCTAATTACCTAGGCCTTCATGTTTACATGCAATGAGAATATCTACAGCTATAAACTACATAATTTATAATTGATGTAAATGGGTGTTATTATGTCAATTAGGCAGCTGTGTCCTCTACCTCTTGGTAAATAGCTATGAGTGATAAACTGAGTTTGCAGAGAGGTACCTTCACTTCTTTGTAACAGACAAAAATAAATTACCTAGGTAGACCAGGCTGTCCAATTGTTCTCTGGTGAAGTTGATGAAAAATCCAGACTCTTTCTTTTGACCTGTTGACTGCAGCAAACGGTCAATTTCGTCACGCACTGCTGCCATAGCTTCTGGGTGCCACAGAAGATAATACATTGCCCAGAACAGGGCTGGAATAGAGTTTGCCAAAGAGGCCCAGAAAACGCCTAAATGATGTGCTGGGAGAAAATAAGTGAAAAGGAAGATTAATAGCATTTATTACACTGATTAGATTTGCAGTGTGCTAATTAAAAGATGTTAGGACACAGACCCAGCCAAGGATCAGTGCATGCTAATGAGGACCAATAGGCTTCTGAAGTCTAATTTTCTGCTTAATGAGAATAGTTTAAAATGTAATGTGTGGGGGGACGGAAAGTTGGGGGGTGAGATAAGATGAGTAAATGCAGCTTACTTATACTCTTTCTCATTATTCCCATTAAGTATCTTGTTTTACAACCTCAGCAAAAAAAAAAAAAAAAATCAATTATCAGAGTAAAACATTTTATCATTAGCCAATTAGAAAGAGCATAAAATGTTCAAGGTCGCCATTTTGTCTTTTTATTTCAAAGGTCTATAGTAAATTATTTTATTTTAGACAAGTACTCATTCAGAAGTTTCTTACCTCCTATTTCTAGGTCATCAGGCTCATAGTACTGCTCCAGGATATCTTGCCTCATTTGAAAAAATTTTGACTGTCTTTGCATCTTAGCTAAGTTTTCTTTTGTAAAGTTGTTTATCATTTTCTTCCGCGTAGACTTGGTATCTCCTAGGAGCTCAATGGGTATGCCTGATGCTAAATATATGAATTTTTCATCAAATTTAATATAATTATCTCTTAGCTCACTAAAAAGTTTTTCCCTATCGGCAACAAGGAGTTTTCCATGCAGAGTTGTAAATGAGATCTCAAACATTACTGAGGTGCAGAATGTCAACAAATGTACTGTGTCCCAATTTCTGGCTTTTAATAATTTAGATTCAAAAACGTGAGTTATATCCTGTGCCATGGTTTCAATAAGTACATCCAAAGATTTGCCTTGCAAATGCTGATAGCAGAGTTGAAGGTCATGGGACAGCTTTTGATTGCCTGACAGCATTTTGATGGAAAATATATGGCGTGATAATTTATCTTTGTATGTTTTGAAGCTTAATTGTTTGGGATTTTTGGTCACTAACTGGAACTGGAAAGGGTCCAGGATAAATGTTACGTACTTCCCTAAAAGAAATAAATATATGATAATGTGAGTTCATTTAGTAGCAAAACAAAACCAAGTACCTGAAATTTGAAAATATTTGAATGAAGATTAGAAAGAACTTAACATCAATAAAGGCACAAAATTTAATAAAAATCTATTTCACTTAAGATCCAGAACATGTTTCCTTTTAAAACAGAAGAAGGTGGGAAAACTCTATAAACTTAAATATCCTTAAAAAGTTTAATACAACAATTTTTATTTTAACTGCAATACCCTATCATTTGAAATATCTTTAAATATTATCAGTACCCATTGACTGAAACGATTCATATATCTCCCCCACTCCAATAAAACAAACAATAAAAAGAGAAACAAAACCAAGGTGGTAAGATGCCATTCTATTACTTACGTTTATACTTTATAGTTTTTTCATACTTGGTATCACTTTAGCATTGATCAGATGTACTAATTTTAACACAAATATATGAAGATGCATTATGTACCCGGTACTCACAAGTAAATAGTTAATTTAGGATTAATTAACTATATATTACAAGTGCTAGCATTTTCACTTTTATATATGAAAAAAATAGTGGCTTAGGGAGATTTAATAGCATATTCAAGGTTACACAGCTGATTTGTGATTGAAATTGGATTCCAAACTAGAAACCTTTCCTTCAACATTTACTGAGATCTAGACACTCAGTTGGACTCTTTCCTTTTTGAGATATAAAGATGGAAACAAATTGTTCTCTCAGTAGAAACAGTGATGTAGCAGAGGTGTGAAGGGAAGCAGAAAAAGAGTATATCTCATTCTTCCGGGAAACACTGACAACAATCTTTGAAGAGGTGTCATTTTGTCTCCTCCACATATTGGGAGCTCTGGTAGTGTAGTGCCTAAGGCACTTGACTGCTAACCAGAAGGCTGGCGGTTCAAACCCACCAGCCACTCCTCGGAAGGAAGATGGGGCAATCTACTTCCATAGTGATACTGCCTTGGAAACCCAAGGAGGGGTCGCTATGACTCAGGTCTGACTCGACAGCACATAACAACAACAACAACAACAATATATCAGCATTGCCCAATCTCACCTAATTAAAAGACTCAGGGTGTTGGTTAAAAATACATTTTCCTGAATGATCCTGATTTATAAGGCATGGAAGTGGGATCACACACATCTATTTGTGACAAGGGCTTCCAATGATTCTCATGAGGCACATTAAGGTAGATCATACCAGACCCGTTTCTCAGAGCTAGCAAGAAACAAAGAGATTGCCTCATTCAACTTCTGTATTTGTCAGTTGAGAAAGCTAAAGAAGGTCAAGAGGGGTTAAGGGCCAAGGAAGAACACACATTTAAGACAATAAACAATTAGGCGTTAAAGTTTATAGAATCATTTAAACTTTCCTCTTCACCTCATCATTTCCCTTGGGGTATGTGTATGTATGAAACTTTCTTAGATGAAAAACTTCTCACTTGTTATGTACGGTAACTCAAAATCCATTAAAGAAATTGAATTCAATTTTTTGTAGCGCTCAGGATAGCATTTTGTGTAGTTTTCAGCTGAATCCTGGAAGCAGAATAAATGTAAAGATTTTCCTTAACAACTTTAAAAATAATTTAAGTGTTTAATATATATGAAAGTACATGTACTATAAAATTCTCCTAAGAATGAGTCTTATGACTCAACTTTTATTCACTCCATTGTCCTTTGATGCATTTAATGAGGCAGCTAAGTCTGGGCAGGAGGCTGAAACGAGAAGAGGCTACCAGTCAGATACCAAAGCTGTCATTTATAAAGTAAACTGGATTTTGTTTTTTTTTTCCTTTCTGGGGAGCTCAAAAAGGAATCAACTGGATTTGGGCATATTTTAAGACATTGCTTTACCAAAGAAACTTAATTAAATAAAATTACCAGCATCTGCTAGACAAATAATTGAAAAAACAAAAAAAGTCAATTCATTTATTTTGCAAAAGATATAATTTTAGGCAAACCTGTGTATTTTCACAGGTGGTGATTCATACGTCTTTTCTTGCACTAAATGAAAGGATTTGGATAGATATCTTTAGGGTTATTTTAAATTATTCACTTAAAAATCAAAATGTCTATAACAGATTCAGTTTGTAAAACACACAGTCTTCAAGAATATTTTGAATTTTTTCCTACCAATTTTCCACAGCAGTCCAAATATAAGTGAAAAGTCAAAAACATATTCAGCTATAGTGGCATAAGCTACATGTCATTGGGTCAATTGAAATAGAAGCTGTGTGGATATGAAAGTTTGTGTTTTGTCTACAATTCATTATAAATTCCCTCTCTCTCTCTCACTCTCCTCTTTTGTTATTTTCCTCTCTTTCTTCTCTCTCACTGTCTCTCTCTCTCCTTGGGAATGAGGAGATTGGAAGAATCCATGACATGAATTTCAAATCAAAGGTATATTGAGGAAATAGGCTGCTTAGTTGGTAGAAATGATTGAGTCAGTAGCTGAAAGGTTGGTGGTTCAAACCCATACAGAGGTGCAGGTGAGACAGGCATGGCAATCTGCTTCTGAAAGATGACAGCCTTGGAAACCCTAAGGAGCAGTTCTATTCTGCACACTTGGGGTCTCCATGAACACGAATTGACTTGACAGCAGCTAACAATAACACGGATGAAAAAAGTCGACTGTGAAGAAACTGATTCTAGTCAGCACCTAGTATTAATAAACCGTTGTTAAAACAAGAATTTGTGTGTGCATAGGTTTTTAAAAAATCACTATAGATTATTTTATTGCAATTTGTAGATATAATTTTCTCTTCCCAAGGTTCTTTTCTCTCTAGGATATTTGCACTATCTCATCCTTATTTTAATTTCTTTCAACATCAAGTCACTGTGTTTTCCCTACTATCTTTCTGTTTGAGATGCAGATTTTTTTCCAAGTAGACACTTTGATTTTTTGGATTTTACTTTTCAAGTGAGTTTGGAAGTACTAATAACCCTGGAGATGTTAACTGGCTTTCCAACTTCTAATCTTCAGTGTAAACAATTTAAGCTAAGTTTTTCAAAATTAATATTAATTTGAACCATCTGTCCACCATCTGCTAATGTGAGATGCGAAATCAAGAGCTTCTTTGTGATCTTTAATCAGACAGTTAGGGAAACACATATACATTCATAAAATGAATTTAAATTTCCTTAACAAAAGAAATCTGGGAAGTTATTCTGGAGGTCAGGTATTGTCAGGGTAGAGTCAACTTTTCTTAGAATGTGATTTTATGTAGATAAATGCTACATGTCAACAGTTACATTGTGTAGTTCACAACAATCACTAGGTAGATGCAATATCTTTTGCCATATTTTGAAAAAAGAAAAGAATGTTGTCAACAGTTCATACAAAACAAATATTGACGTAAAGAAGTTCAGAGTTTGTGCTTGTTTAAAATGCAAATATCAAAATGTAGCCCACTTCTGAAAAAATATATAAAATTATCCTTCTGAATAGTATGTTTATTTGAAGTGGGGTCAAAATTTTTAACATCTCCCTTGCTAAATTCTTATTCATTTTTAGGAACTGATTGGGCCTAAGATACGAACATTAGTATTGCTATATAACTTTAGATAATTCTTTACTAACTCAAATGCCTTTTCATTTATGTTAAAATTAATTCTTATAGGAAGGTGAAGTTATGTGATGTGAAATGTGTCAGTAAATTTTTTTTTTAAATAAATCTTTAGCTTGATGTCTTAAATACAGGAAGTGGACATCTAGATCATTACAAATTGAATTTTGAATTTTCATTTCAGAAATGTAGTGCTGTATAGAGACATAGTCATGAGAATTCAGGACAAGTATTTGACTGGAATAAAAAATGCACTGTTAACAAAAATGAGACAAATGTGAATTTTAAAGAAATTTGCCATAATTACTGGGTTTCAAAGTCTGCATATAGTTGATTCTTCAATACATTTTTCTTTTTTTAATCTGAAGCTGATAATTTTTTAAACCTGAAGTTGGAGGAGTGGAATATAAAACAACATTTTATTTTATTGAAGCTGACCACATTTACACAGTCCCCTTCTTATTAGGGAGATTTCACTGAGCTGTTGACAATGATGTACAGTGGAGCTTCTCTGGGGTGACGTTCAGGGAAATCATTGACATTGCACCACCACACAAAACCAATTAGAGAACTATTTTCTGCGACAGGTCACGAATTTACGTGGTTTCTCATGAAAAGATGTACCTTTTAATTTCTTTATTAAAGTGACATCTGTGTCCCTTGAGACTTTTCATGATGACAATCATTTGCTCATCATGCAAGAAAATACATTCACTGAAATCAATGGTGGGACAAGGGCAGAGGACTCTGTTCCTTGTTTCACATTTTCCAAATGAACTACTTTGCAAACTGATCATTAGAACCATATATATTAGCAGGATTTGTTGCCAGGAATTTATTCAATGTCTAATAGGAGGCAAAAGGGAAGTAGTACATATTCAAATGTGATTGTCTACTGTTGAGTTCAAAAACTTAACCATGGTCAAATTATTTAGACATTAGAGATTCAGCAAGCATCTCAGTATCTAAGATTAAGTTATCAAGTGTCAGGATAAATTGATTGTTTTTGAAAAGTGAATAAAATTATTTGAATCTGCACCACGTTTCTGCTTAATCATCTTAGGTTATATTTGTATAATGTACTAAAAAGGAAAAGTGAAAATTTCAATAATTTGTTGTATCTATTCATGAAAACGTAAAAAGTTTAATTTTTTAATATATATATTTTTAAGCTAAGAGTATAGTTTTGGCATTACAAAGCCAAAAACTCATTTAAAATTGCGGCACCAGCTATTGTCTTTATCTGTATGACAGTATTTCATCAGTTCTAATGTGTTAGGAATTTACTCATCAAATATTTATTGTGCATCAACCAGTGCTAAATTCTGAACTATATACTGGCAACACAGGAGCTAACAGAATAATGCACATAGATAGATGAGGGAATTAGCCATAAATTCACAAGTTATTAAATGTTGTGACAGACATGATACTAGGAGTACTGGGAGCCTAGAGAGGAGATACCAAACATAGTGTCAGGAAGGGAGATGGCCAGGGAAGGATTTGGGGAGGAAGTTATACTTGACCATGATGTTGAAGGATGAGCCCATGTCAGCAAGCAAGAACAACATTCCAGCACAAAGAGCAGCAAGAGAAAATCTGGAGGCATAAAAGCACTTGCAATGTGAGGGAGGAATTTCAAACAATTTGGTGCATTAATGGTGCAATGAGTGCAAGGTAAGAGACTAAGCTAGAGAGGTGGGATCTTGGGGAGCTATGTAAGGATTAGGTTACAAACGTCATTTCCTTTATTTCTAAGATTCATGACTTTTGTTTTGCTTTGTTTTTAGATTTCAATTGTTCTGAAACCAGAGTGCATTCAATTATTGTTGAGAGAAATTTAGCAGCTGTCAGGCAGAAGAATATGTTGTGGTAAAATGAATATTACCTGTTCATGTGAGAATCAATTATCTTATTAAATATCACCCAGTTTAAGTTATCTGTATTTTCCCCCCAAAATACTCTATCAAAGAGGATCCTTGGTGAGGCAGTGGTTAAGCAATGGGCTGCTAAGCAAACTGTCAGCTGTTGGAACCCACAAGCCACTCCATAGGAGAAAGAAAGAAAAAAAGAATGAAAATTGCAAACTAGACAGAGTATGTAGGAAAAGTTAAGCATGTTTATAAACATGTTATACAAATATGCAAATACGTATACATGTGTGTATATATATCTCTTAATATATACATATATATGCATATACTCCTATAGAAAAATAAAAGAAGATATCTGTGTAAGAGGAATGAAGAATGGAATACCAATCCAGAGAGGGACAGAAGAAAGGTCATGGGGCAGATAAATAGATTGTCTTCAACATTCTTTGAAATTGGAGCAAAGGTGGTAAGGATCATTGTGAGATGTGAGTACCTTTGGTAGATATGTTGGAGTCTAAGTGAGATCTAAGTGTATTTTATTGACTATGCAAAGGCATTCAACTGTGTGGATCACAACAAATTATAGATAACATTGAGAAGAATGGGAATTCTAGAACACTTAATTGCACACTCATGTGGAAGCCGTACACAGACCAAGAGGCAGCTGTTCAAACAAGAACAGAACAAAGGAATACTGGTGGTTTATAATCGTGAAAGCTGTGCATCAGGGTTGTACCCTTTCACCATACTTATTCAATCTGTATGCTGAGCAAATAATCTGAGAACCTGGACTACATGAAGAAGAATGTGGCATCAGGATTGGAGGAAGACTCATCAACAACCTGTGATGTGCAGATGACACAACCTCACTTGCTGAAAGTGAAAAGGACTTAAAGTAGTTACTGATGAAGATCAAAGACTACAGCCTTCAGTATGGGTGACATTTTAACATAAAGAAAACAAAAATCCTCACAATGGGGCAAATAAGCAAATTCAAATTCATTGTCAATGAGTCGATTTTGACTCATAGTGATCCCTATTGGGTTTCCAAGGCTGTAAATCTTTATGGAAGCAGACTGCCGCATCTTTCTTCCATGGAGCAGCTGATGGGTTCAAACACTGACCTTCTGGTTAGCAACCAAATCCTTAACCAAATCCTTAAATGTAGTGACATCATCAGAGCTCCTAGACCAATAAGCAACATTATGATAAATGGAGAAAAGATTGATGTTGTCAAGGATCTCATTTTACTTGGATTCACCATCAACACCCATGAAAGCATTAGTCAAGAGATTTATTGCATTGAGCAAATCTGCTGCAAAAGATTTCTTTAAAGTGTTAAAAAGCAAAGATGCCACTTTGAAGACTAAGGTGGGCCTGATCCAACCATGGTGTTCTGAGTCACCTCATATGGTGGCATAGTGCCTAAGGCATTTGACTGCTAACTAGATGGCTGGTGGTTCAAATCCACCAGCCAGTCCTCAGAAGGAAGATTGGGCAATCTACTTCTGTAGAGATACTGCCTCAGAAACCCAAGGAGGGGTAGCTATGAGTTGGATACAACTCGACAGCAGTGAGTTTGGTTTTTTATATGCCTGCAAGAGCTGGACAATAAATAAGGAATATTGAAGAAGAATTGATGTCTTTGAATTATGGTGTTGATGGAGAATATTGACTATAATTTGGACTACCAGAAAAATGTCTTAGAAGAAGTATAGCCAGAATGCTTCTTAGTGAGGATGGTGAAACTTCATCTCATGTACTTTGGACATGTTATCAGGAGGGACCAGTCACTAGAGAAAGAAATCATGCTTGGTAGAGGGTCAGTGTAAAAGAGGAAGACCCTCACTGAGATGGACTGACATAGTCACTGCAACAGTGGACTCAAACATAGCAAAGATTGTGAAGATGGTGCAGTGTCAGCAGTGTTTCCAGGCAGTGTTTCACTCTGTTGTACATAGGGTTGATATTAGTCAGAACCAACTAGATGGCACTTAATAAAAACAATAAGTGAGATCATATTTGATGTCTTCAATTTTCTCATGAAGAAAGAAAGGAAGGTGAACTGGTTTTCCAGAGCCCAGACTCACTTTCTGCTACTCCATTGTGCACTCAGCCAGAAGCCATTGGGCAAGGAAGTGTGGATGATCTAGTCCTGAGAGCCTCCCATGGCATGGATGGGACAAGGGAAGAAGAAAATGGAGAATAAGTAGCCTTAGGGGAAAGCTGGTATGAGAGATTGTGTGCAAAGACAGCCATGATAAGTTCTTCCTTTCCTATACATGGTCCTCTTGGTGACTGCCACTCTTTCTTGCAAGAGGCAGAGCCTATTCCCTATCCTTGCATCTGGGCTAGTCATATGGTTTGTTTTGGCCCGTAACCTGGCTGGAGTGAGGCTTTGGAATATCTGAGCTTAGGCCTCAAGAAGCCTTACACCTTTTCTGTTCAGCCTCTTGAAACACTTACTACTAAGGTAGCCTTCTTGAGAATGAAAGACCATGTGTGCAAGGTTGCCCAGCCAAACATATGATGAAGCCATCTTGAATCATTCAGCCCCTATCAAGCCATCTGATGACTGAAGCCACATAAAAGACTCCATGCAAGACCAATTTTTGTTCTAAGCAATTAAATTTTTTTTGGGGGAGGGGGTTTGTTTTATAGCAATGGACACTGATACCGCTGGATAGCATGAAGTTCAAAGGAGGGTGAGCTAAGAACATTCTGGCTTCTCTCTGCCCTCTTGTCCGTGATGCTTGGAGTGTGTAGTCATCTTGCTATTATTTTTGAGGGGGCTGATGGAAGGGATAACAGTTTAAAGTATAATCAACTTTTTAAAATTAAAAATATGCTATAGTTTATTGTTTATAGTTATATAAAAATCATTGAATAAGACAACTGAACATGAAATAAATAGAATAGGTGGTGGCAGCAGAGTGGGCCTCCCCAATACCCTCAAACCAAAACCAAACTCACTGCCATCAAGTCAACTCCAACTCATAGTGACCCCCTTGGGGTTTCTGAGGTCATAAATCTTTACAGAACTAGATTGCCTAGTCTTCCTTCCATGGAGTGGCTGGGAGAGTCTAATTTTTTTTTTTTTTAATATGAGAATTCCTGAGCTGAAAAACATGTTTCATTTGTATTAGCTCTACAAATAAAATAATAATTACAAATATCCCATGTTTTGCCTAGAGAAAATATAAAGACATTAAAGAATAGGTAATACATGACATATTTAAGAAACATATAGAAGTGTTTCTTACCCCCAAAGAGAACAGTGAAACTATCACCATGTTTCTTTTGAAGAGTTTTTATAAAAGCCAAGGGAGCTTTTTGGAAGTTCCAGATCTGTCCGAAATAAGGAAGCCAGCCTTTTATTAATGGGGGCTCGCCAGGTCTCCTGTGAAGAAAAAAAGATAAAAGAAGAAAATATGGAATCACATTTATTTTAATAAATGTGGGTTATTTATCAAGTCCATTGTTGTGGTTGTGTGCTGTCGAGTCGATTCTAACTTATAGCGACCATATAGCCAGAGTAGAAGGGTTTCCTAGGCTGAAATCTTTATACTAGCAGATCACCAGTCTTTTCTCCCATGGAATGGCTAGTAGGTTCCAACTGCCAACCTTTCAGTTAGCAGTCAAGCACTTAATAATTGCACCACAGGAAGCTTATAAATGGATTGGACAAATTGCACAGCTTCTTTCAATTCTCTTATTCCATGAGTCTTATATAACCATACACATGCATTTATTGAGCTTCTCCAGTATGTGTGGCTCTGGGGTGGACAGTTCAATTCATAACTTTCAGTAAGCAATTTTTTTCAAAACTTGAATGGCTGCCTGACCAGTTTAATCACATCTGTTCTATTTATTTTGTGTTCAATATCCTAACATCACTAGTAGTCACCTGTAGATGTAATGGGAATATATAAAAAAAAATGTAAAAACAGTTACTGTTGAGTAAATTCCAACTCATTGAGACCCTAATGTGTGCAGAGTAGAAATATACTACATAGGGTTTACAGATCTTTCTTCCAAAGTGCTTCTAAGTGGGTTTGAATCACCAATCTTGGTAAGTAGTCAAATGCTTTACTATTTGCACCACCCAGAACTTTGTGATGGGCTTATTAATGGTTTATCTATGAAGGTCAATCAACTTGTTGTTATAATTTATTTAGTGAAATTAACAGTTTGGTATAATATTGATAGAAAAAAACAATGGGTAAGCTGACTGATTTTTTTTTTCTTTCTCACAAGTTGTATGTTATAAATGCTGCTTGGTAAATAGTATCAGTGAGATCTAACTCAGCTTCAAACAATAATTTGTGGTTGCCAGTTGTGTGAGAATGGCCAGACTTCATCTCTTCTACTCTGGTCATGTTGTAAGAAGTGACCATTCTCTGGAGAAGGATATCATGCTTGGTAAACTGGAGGGTTAACAGAAAAGGGGAAGGCCCTCAACAAGATAGATTGACACAGTGGCTACAATGATGGGCTCAAGTATAGCAAGGATTGTGAGGCTGGCACAGGACTGGGCAGTGTTTTGTTCTGCTGTACATAGGGTCGCTATGAGTCGGAGACAACTGGATGGCACCTAACAATAACAACAACTGTGCGCTCAGTACTGGGATACAGAACAAGTGAAACCTAACTTCTAGTCAAGTTGTTTGTTGGAAACCCTGTAAACAACAAATTTCAATTACTGATTTTTTTTTTTTCCATTAGCATGATTTTTTAAGTGTCAGCCCTTTGTTGTAGAGATTCCAAAGCATGGTGACCCATGCATGTCAGAGTACAACTGTGCTCCACTGGGTTTTCCATGGCTGATTTTTTGGAAGTTTGTCTCCAGACCTTTCTTTCTAGGCACTTTTGGGTGGACTCAAACGAACTTCAAACTTTTGGTTTGCATGAGAAGGCATTAATCATTCATACTACCCAGGGACTCTTTTTATATATGTAGATACAGCCCAAGTAGCCCTATCTTATTTTAATTCTTGACCCTTACACTGCTATTTAGGTAGCCCCATAAATAAGTGTTTAAAATCCAAAGAATTCTTCAATTATATGCTTATACATACATTAAAGGTATAGGGAGATGATACATTATGGGATTTGAAACTCCTTATGTGTACTTAAATTAAATGGAAGGGTGTGTTCCTTGGGATGTGCATATTGTAGTAAATTATTCATTGTGCTTTTTTTTTTTTAACTGAATAGATTCATCAAAGAGCTTAGAACTAGGTTGCAGTTTGGCAACTTTAGTTCAATCTTCATTTTCATTGCTAAGGAAGGAATCTTAAAGCTGAGAGATCAACAACTTTTCCTAAGGTCAAGAAGCTACTTAATGAAAAGCTGTGCACTGCCTCTGTGCCCCAGAGCTGCACTCTGCCCCATTTAAGAATCTTTATCAGTCCACCTGTGGACCTAGTAAGAAGCACAGGCAGAGGTGCACAGTGAACTAATAGATGCATTCAGTAAATACTGTGTGGTTGAGGCATAGGGCTGTTCTTGCGCTCTGGGTATTAGATACTGGATACTTCAGATGACAAAATAAAGCCTTCTGTTATCAGATACCAATTAGGAATTACATAATTAGAAGGGGACAGTAAATAATGCAGAAAAAATCTTTCTATGTTCTATGATATATGTTTTAATAAAGGAGCCCTGGTGGGGTAGTAGTTAAGTGCTAGCCTGTTAACCCAAAGGTCAGTGCTTTGAACCCACCAGCCTCTCCACAGTAGAAAGGCATATATATGTGTATTTTTTTTTCTGTAAAGATTTACAGACTTGGAAACCCTATGGGGCAGTTCTACTCTGTCCCATAAGGTTACTATGAGTTAGAATTTGACACAGTGGCAATGGGTCTTATGGGATGTTTTAATATATTCTTTTACTTAATGAATTTTTTTTCACTCAAACTGCAAATAAATAAAAGTATTTGTTAACTTTTACCAATAATTTGACACCACTATTTCCAACATAGGAGCTCTGGTAGCGTAGTGCCTAAGGCACTTCACTGCTAACCGGAAGGCTGGCAGTTCAAACCCACCAGCCACTCCTCTGAAGGAAGATGAAGCAATCTACTTCCATAGTGATACTGCCTCGGCAACCCAAGGAGGGGATTGCTATGAGTCGGGTCCGACTCAACGGCACATAACAACAACAACAACAGGAACAACAACAATATTTCCAATATATGAACCAGCTCATAAAACACTACCAGGAATTTAAAAAATCGAGTTTCTTTCTACATTCTACAATCCCAGCAAAATTACACTTCAAAATGTCTTCCTCATCATTTATTTGGTGGACTCAATCTGATTTAAAGTGAAAAACCCAAAGCTATTTTATCCTAGAAGAGATTAAACCAAATATTCAAAAGAACTCTGAATCTCTGTCCCATCTGTGGAGATGACTTATACTACATGCAGTACAATCCATTTTGATTAATCACAATATCTTACTAGCTCAGATCTCATCTGAAATCAAGATTATGATCACACTTAGCATGGCCTTTTAGGTAGCTAGATTAACCCTATCAAAAGCTTTTATTTTGCCATAACCCAAAATGTCTGAAATAAACTTAAAAAATAAACATTAGCTCTTCCATGGAGAAAACACAGATCAAAACAAAATAAATCAGAGCTGTGATAGAGGAATAGGATATAGAGGTCAAGACCTTGCTTTCCCTTTTTAGAAAACAAGTTGTTTTTACAACAATTCACAAAAAGTATGCTGATGCCTAAATACCTACACTTAAGAAACACTGCATAGAAATGTGTATGTTACTCCTCATGCTTTTTCTCCATTATTTTCTTGAATGCAGTCTTTAGCAATGGAGACTCACTTATTTAAGAAATATAAAAACCTAGCAAGAAAACCTTGTAACAGTTAATTTTATATCCAATGATTAAACAAGAAGAGACTGCACATATGATTGTAGGGGTGGATCCTCAAGTTAGAAACTGCCCTAGCCCACATGCTACCTACCTAACAATGACCCCTTCAAAATTTCTAAATGATTTAGTTCAGTATTTTTCTTTTCAAAATATTAACTGTTTTCCTTGGTCTATTTTTACCCTGGTTTAATGTTGCTTGAACACTGCATTGTGACAAAGATTTAGAAAGGCTTTTTGTCATATTCTAAATTAATGCAACTAATTTCACCCTCTACGCTCTGTCATTCGGTCAAAAGCTGTATTCTTCATGGGTTTCCACGGGGGTAGATGTGTGGAAGGAGCTCAGAAATCCAAGCAAATATCAGCGTAACGTTCAGAATTAGGGTAGCACATAAGAAAGTCATTTTATTTTTACAAAGAAGGAAGGTTATCATTCCTTACAGCTGTGTTTATTTCAGCAGCAATAAGCGTAACACTATTAAATATCATGTTATAACTGTGCACATTTTCAGGAAAAAATATAGTGCTAGTTCAACTTATGACCCATCAAAGACTGTAACAGAAAGCCGTTTTCACTGGTGTACTTGTTAAAATCATTTGCGGAGGAAAGACATCACCATAATGATCTGTACAGGCCTTTGACACTTAGCATAGCATAATTAATGACTGATCTCATTTTTGTTCCGTGACTTCAAGAATGAAATGTCCACTGTCCACTATCGAGGGAGGGAACAGGATTTTTCAGGTTTGTTCAGGACAATCAACTTCCAAAGCCTAAAAGTACCTAAAGCAATGATAGGCAATAATGAAAAACTCCATGGCCAATAAAACCAGAAAAACCAGTTGATACCCAGTGGATCTTAACATGAACTAACATGATTTGTCTCATTGTGTCTCTTAGAAATGTATCCTTTAAAAAAAAAAAAAGTTACTGTGGATATATGTGTGTATATACATGTGAGTGTATATATACATGTGTGTGTGTGTATATGTGTATGTGTGTGTATCTTTACCTTTTTAACCATTTTTAAGTGTTTAATTCTGTGACATTATGTTCACCATATTGTGTTAATATCACCACTATTTCCAAAAGTTTTACATCACCCTAAACAGAAACTCTGTCCCCTTTAAGCAATATCTCTCTTCTCTCCACTGATCCCAGCCATTGGTAAGCACAAATAAAGTTTTATCTCTATGCATTTATTTCAGATATTTCACATAAGTGGAATTATACAATTTTTGCCCTTTTGCATCTGACTTATTTCACTGAGCATATTTTCAAGGTCCATCCATGTAATAGCATGTATCAGAACCTCATTTCTCTTTAGAGCATAATAATATTCCATTGTGCACATAAATTGAATTTTGTTTATCCATTCGCCTGTTGATGGACACTTAGGTTGTTTCCACTTTTTGGCTATTGTGAATACATACTGCTGCAGTGAGCACTGCTGTACAAGTATCTGTTTGAGTCCTTGCTTTTAAGGTGGCTAGAGTATATATAAACCTATGTATGGAGCTGTGTTAGCATAGTGCCTAAGGCACTGGACTGCTAACCAGAGGGCTGGCGGTTTAAACCCACCAGCCACTCCTTGGAAGGAAGGTTGGGCAATCTACTTCTGTAGCGATACTGCCTCGGAAACCCAAGGAGGGATCGTTATGAGTCAGATCTGACTCAACGGCAGTGAGTATATCTATAAAACCAAAAAAAAAAAAAACAACCAAACTCACTGCCATCGAGTCGATTTGACTCATAGTGACCTCTCCTTGAGTTTCTGAAGTGGTATCTCTATGGTAGTAGATTGCCCAATCTTCCTTCTGAGGAGTGGCTGGTGGTTGAATGGCCAGCCTTCTGGTTAGCAGTCAAATGCCTTAGGCACTACGCCACCAGAGTGTCTATATATATATATATTTGTTGTTGTTATGTGCCATGGAGTCGGACTGATTCATAGTGACTCCTCCTTGGGTTTCCGAGGCAGTATCACTACGGAAGTAGATTGCCCCATCTTCCTTCTGAGGAGTGGCTGGTGAGTTTGAACCGCCAGCCTTCTGGTTAGTAATCAAGTGCCTTAGGCACTATGCTACCAGAACTCCTATATGTGTGTGTGTGTATATATATAATTCCTCATACACACACACACACACACATATGAGGAATTGCTGGGTCATACAGTAATTCTAAGTTTAACTTTTTGAGGAACTGCTAAACTTTTTTCCACAGTAGCTGCACCATTTTACAATTCTGCTAACTATGCATGAGGATACAATTGTATTGTCTAAATACTGTAAGCCCTCACTCTTTCTTGATTCCAATGGGGATAGAAAGGATATCTGAAAATGTTACTACAGCACTTGGTAGTTGAGAATGGGTGCTTGTCAGGACATTGAGGAGAAGATGCCTCCCTGCAGGGATGGTAGATCTGAAAGCTACTGAGGAGTGGGTGGAGCATGTGGCTGAGTCTTGGTGCAACTGCTGCCTCAGTAAGAGTCAAGGTGGGGCAAAGGAAGCCCCGAGCTACCATCTATCATTTTTCTGGAAACCAGATGGGAGTTGCAACCAAGTGAGGTCCCTTCAAGGTATGGCTGCCAGGGTAGGACCACACCCAAAGACCTAGCAGAGGAGGCACCAGGGAAGCCATGGCGGACCAACATGGACATTTGTACAAGACACACTATTAACATAAACAAAGAAGAAAGACTCTTAAAATTTACTTAACATTTATTCAAGAGACTAAATTTTAAACTACAAGTGGCTGAAGTACTTTTCATTAGAAACAGTCAATGTTTGCTGCCATCAGCAAAATAGGGGCTCATGAGAAGTACGAGTTCCATTATAGAGACAAAATGTTACATTTCTGCACATCTGACTGATATTGTGAAATTGTAAATCTGATACCCTATCTAGGGTAGTGTTTCTTCACTTATAAGTGAGAATAATATCAACCCTAGAGGCTCATTGTGACACTGAGAGAGTATTTGAAAGTACCTGGTACCTAGAGTGGAATTCTTTTTGCTCCATGAATGTTTTGTAAGCAGTTGTGCAAGTGGTTTTGCTCAAGCACACTCTGCCTGAACTGGTTCATTTCTCAACTCTTCCTGCTCATCTCTACCTTTCATGGAGTTGCTCAAGTTTGAAGGAGCTCTCCATCCTCTGAATCACTGGCTAAATGAAATTGCTCAATGCCCTGATATGCATGTACTAGATACTTTCAGGGGAGCAGAGAAAAAGACTACTGAAAAACTGACTTTCTCAGGGAGACAACTCTTTTTGTTTAAAAGCACAATTCCATTGCATGTGGGTTCTTATTAAGATGGGGTCTGGTAGGCATGATGTGGTCTAAGAGATATAGTGAAGAAGAATTTGAGGATTTTGGCAGAAAAGGACATGAGAAAAGAGGAAAGAAAGTAGAATAAAGGGACACAAAAGAATGAGGCAGCAAAGTGGTGAGATAAGAGGACAGTGAAAGGACCAACGGATGCTCCCAGATCATTTCTGGCTGATAAACTGTTTGCTCTCCTGGAGGTCACATGACCTTTTCTGTCTCAAAACGTTCAGTAAAAGATTCTTACAGAATCTTATGTCAGTGATAGTTGAGAAAGCAGAGGTTAGGACAGTGTCTAGCTGAGGGACACCCCATAAGAGGTGGACAGAATGGGGCAAAGAGAGCAGGTGCAAGAGGAAAAATGTAGAGGATAGAATAAGAATTCAACAGAACATGGAGCTCTGAACACTGGCTCATCATCCTACTTTGTAAATAATCTTGTAGGCATGAGAAAGGACCTTGGACCTCCCACTGCAGGTGAGCTGGAGGTTTCGGACACAGTATATAAAGTAATCCTTTAAACAAAAGTATTTTATGTCAAAGCATTTGGAGAACTTGAATAATACAGGGAGCTGCTACCTTGGACTAAACTCTAAAAACAACTCAAAAACAGTAACCAGTAAGAGGAATTCCAACCAAGGTCTATTCCTTTATATAACTCTCTGAATTCTCCCAATTTGGTACCATGCAAAATGCATGACTGCAATAAAGGTTTATTGTTTAAGAAAGAAAATAAAAATCTATATGAGGTTACAGAAACTGTCTGATTTTACCATTTTAATTGGTGACTAAGGACCTATTAACCAATTATCAACTTCTCAAGAAAAATTAAGAGGGGAAATAAACTAACATAAAATATCAATTTGTCTATATAACAATGATCAGAGAAACAACCAAACTTAGCAGAATGAACTTAGCAGAATGATCAGATGAAAATGGCAGCTCTATTTGTGTGGTAGAAAGATATTTAGGACTGCATCTGTGTGTGCTTACACTTCACGGAAGCAAGACTGGGCAATCTACTTCCATAAAGATTTACCACCTCAGAAACACAATGAGGGTTGCTATTTGTTGGAATTGACTCAATGGCAGTGGGTTTGGTTTTGTTTGGGTTTAGTGGGAGATGCTCTCCAGTGCATGAGTCAGCCATACTAATTCATTATCTAATCATAGTTTATCCAAGTAAAGAGAATTCTTTGCTTTAGAAGGGCACAAGGGGAAGTACTGGTCTAGGGGGAGAATTCTCACTCCATGTGGAAGACCTGGGTTTTATTCTTGGCAATGCACTTCATGCATAGCCACTACCTGTCTGTCAGTGGAGGCCAGCATGTTGCCATGATGCTGGAGAGGTTTCAGCAGAGCTTCTAGACTAAGACAGATAAGGAAGAAAGGCCTGGAATTCTATTTGCAAAAATTAGCCAATGAAAATCATATGGATCACAATGGTCCAATCCTGTTGTACATTGGGTCTTCATGAGTAGAGACCAATGCGGCTATAGCTAACAACAACAAAGAAGGGCACACAATCCTAAACAATACAAATGATCATTATTTCTGGGTGGTGAGATTATGGAGGTTTAGTCACTAGTATCTCTTAATTTTTGTATGATATGAACATACTGCTTTTTGACAAGTACTGCTCAGTTATTTTGTAGAACATCCCTCAGTGTCGGTTTGTCCCAGATTGAGGTTATATGTTTTTTGCAAGAATCTCACAGAAGCATTGTGTCTTTTTCAGTGCATGGTTGTTTTTGTAGTAAAATATATATATATATACATATATATGTTAAAGATGAAAGCCAAGTACAGAAGACATTGTCTTCTAAAAAGTAATTCACAGCAAAAAAAATACCCTATATCAATGAATATCAATGAATCAAAAGCTGATTCTAAAAAGGAGCTCCACCTTCCCAAGGCAGTTGAGTGGAGGAACAGCCTGAGCTTCCCCATAAGGAGTAGCATAACCCATTCCACCAGCACTAAGAAAATGAAGGGTGGGCACTGAGGTCAGATGCTCTAATTGTACAGAGTATGGACACACAGTGTTGCCTGGGGACACCTCATTACTTTCACAGGGTCCAGGCAGCATGGTAATGAGGGAGGCAGAGTCGGGAAGGGTGCTCTTCACAGCTGGGGGTGCAGCTGCCAGACATGTGACAACTGAGCCCTGAATGGCTCTTCAAGGTTCCACTGGGAAGAAGAAGCTCCATCACACAGAGCATAATGTCTCCACCTTTACAAAACGCCAGTGCATCTCATGTGTACAGTGAGTGCACAGGTTAATTTCCCCCCCCTTGCATATGATAAATCATATATTCTTCAGGACCCTTGTTTCATATGTTGAACATAGTAATCTGCTTAATATCTGTTTACTGCAAGAATCAGGCATACTGTAATCCTTTTTCAAAATGAACATTAATCCAAACTCTGCCTAAAACAACTATACAATTCATTACCATAAGTAATCTCCATTGTACCCTGAGCTTAACCTTCATTTTCCCCCCAGTCCTATAAGCTTGTAAATCCACTGATGGTATGTGATTGGCAGTTGGTGTTCACACAACCTCTACCTTACAAAGAATAAATGAAAAATCCCTGGATGAAAACATCTCTTTCTAAGCTATCAGTGATTCAACTCTCTGCTCTCTGGTAACTTTTGCACCATTCTAGAAAGGGATGTTAACTTTGTAGGTCATAAATCATCCCTTTACCCTCGAAAAGTTTTGGCTTTATCAAGATGGCCATTGACCTAAAACTTGACTTAATTCCCTGGCAGCAAATACATTCACTGTTCAAGCACTTTTATCAAAGCATTAAATGTAATGGTAATGTAAAAGCAGGCAGCGCTGAATGGTCACAAATTCCTCCATGTGGGTTTGTCCTCCATTATGAGCATAAAATCAGAGCAAAACCACCATGAACACCCTAGATAAGTCTTCACACCCTAGAGCATAACTCTTCCAAGTGTATTCCAGTTGAGTCTTTGGATGTCACTTCATCTATGTGATTGTGGGATCTGAATAAAGCTTTGTCTGTACAATGTGTCTTGTAAACTGGATTTCATTAGCAGATTTATACTAATGCCTTGATCAAATGAGAGATTTGTAAAGGCTTCCTCGGCCAAGAAACCAAACCATATCAATGTAGGAGTTCACGCGGATAATTCTGATTTTCTTTCTCTCTCTCTCTTTCTTTCCTGGCAGGGATGCCCAGATTGGCACTGTGGAAATCATGTTAAAACTTACTTTTTAAATATTATCTTTTTCAGCTTGATTCAGTATCAAGGAGGTCCCCCAAAGAATGATCACAACCTAGAGTACAAAGTTCCAGCCCTCATTTTCTCAGGTATGGAGGCGAAAGCCTTGTGATTAATCTTGCCACTCTGCATGGCTCAGACCCCAGGCTTGCCAACTATCAGCTTGGTTACTTTGGCCAATTTAACCTCTCTGTAGATTGAGTCCTCATCTGCAAAATTGGTATAAACTAATAATAATAATAATAACAACAACAACAACAACAAACTCACTGCCATCCAGTAGGTTCTGACTCATAGCAACCTCTCCTTGGGTTTCTGAGGCAGTATCACTATGGAAGTAGATTGCCCAACCTTCCTTCTGAGGAGTGTCTGGTGGGTTTGAATTGCCAGCCTTCTGGTTAACAAATAACTTAGGCACTATACCACCAGAGCTCCTCAAAATGGGTATGCTATTGTGAAAAACAGTTGCTGTCAAGTCGCTTCTAACTCATGGAGATCACATGTGTGCAGATTGGAATCACTTCATAGGGTTTTTATAGCTGTGACCTTTCAGAAGCAGATTGCCAGGCCTTTCTCCCAAGACACCTCTGGGTGGACTCAAACCACCAACTATTTGGTTAGTGGCCATGCACTTCACTGTGCATGTCACCCAGGGACTCGTATATACTGATGTACTTTCCTTATATGAGAATTAAATAAGTTCATGCATGTGAAAAACTTATGGCACACACTTCCATGGAGTACTTAAAATGGTAGCTGGTGTTATTATTACTATTAGGAGCTCTGGTGGCATAGTGCCTAAGGGATTTGACTGCTAACCAGAAGGCTGGCAGTTCAAACCCACCAGACACTTCTCAGAAGGAAGACTGGACAATCTGCTTCCATAGTGATACCACTGCACAAACCCAAGGAGGGGTCGCTATGAGTTGGATCCCTTTTTTTTGTTTATTATCATTATCTCTACACTGCTACCTGTATCATCTAAAATGCAAATCTAATCATGTCTCTCTCCTTACCTAAATGTTTTCTTTCTAAAGAGACTACTAATTTTTAAGATTTATTTTCATTTGCTTGCACACTTCCTTTATTTGCCTAATACAGATTTAAGTTGGGGGCTGCCCATATGTGATTTGCAAGGTTGAAGATTTGGGAGACTGGGCACCAGAATCATTGGCCCACTTGGAAAAAAAAAAATAATTTTTCAGGCTTTGTGTTTTCTGAGCAAACACACTCAAGGAAGAAAAGTGGCCCAGAAGAGCACTGGATATTAGGAGACAGCCAGTCAAGAATCTTTAAACAGCCTAGACAATTCTAAAAGGGGGAAATCGATTCATAATTGAAAGTTACTTCAACTCCTGAATTAAAATAGAAAACCATGCAACTGAATTTGTAATTTCTGAGATGATCAGTTGCTAATTTATTTCACAGACAAGATTTGATTGGACTCCATGGAAGAGATATCAATTCCATTAACTCATCATTTCTTCCATTTGATTAAATCATTTGATTTTGAAATGTTTAATAAAAAATTAGAACCCACTGTTTCTGCTGAAACTAAATTATAATGGAAGACATGCCCAGAAAGTCTTGGTAATGACAATACAGAAATCAATTCCAACAACGCACAAGTGCAAAGTCAAGTTATCAAATGAAATTTCATCAACCCAAGCCAATGAAGAAACCAAGTTCCAAATTCTGCAGGCCAACACTAAAATAATCAGACACAGCTTATCAGAACCACAGGAAAGGTGATTCAAGGGTAAAGTCTAAAGTCTGGTGGGAAGCTAGTGACCATATGCTACATCTGTTCCATAATGTGATAATTCATAACCAAACTTTAATATTGCATAAACTATCAACAAAGGAAAAGCTAGCAGTATCTTTACATTTTGCAATACAGCATATAGCACCAAGAAGTGCAATGTTTTGTTCTTGCCACGAGCTAGAGGATTTTATGAAAGGGAAAGTACCATTCTTTTCCAAAGATTGTTTTTCAGCTTTGGCTGGTGATTTAAAGTCAATGATCATAAAATAATTTTATGGCTACTTCAGGAAACCTGTCATCACCCATATTGGAACATGGTACAGAGAAAACATGGTGTCATAGTTATATACAGAAATCTAAGGCTTAAAAATTCCAAAATTCAGTGAAAGACAACCTTCTGTATTTTAAACATCACAATTCTTGCAGTGTCCTTTGCTCATGTCACTCCCTCTTACTTGTACCCTCCCACCTGTTTTGTGAAATCAATTTTTAGTGTTTGTATCAGCATCACTATCTGAATAGTGTTCAACTGCTTTGTTTCTTGGTGATTTTTTCTTCCATGTAATCACTAATTTTCATCATTCTCTTTCAGTATTCGCTAAAATCTCTCTCAGTATGCTCTTGTAATTTTCCTACAGTTTCTTTCCTATTTTTCATCACCTTTTCTTTTGCTTCACTTACTGGGAGATTTTCTTGATTTCATCCTTTTCATAGAATATATTATTTCCAATCTCAGATTCATAGTTTCCAAGAGGCCTTTTGTGCTTTCTGATTATATTATATAAAAACTACATTCTGTTCTTATTTTATGTATGGAATTTCTTCTCTTGCCTAAGATGATTAAACATAGCCCTTAGAAGATACATATTTTTTCCTGCTTCCTGAATTGTTTGTTTTCATATCTTCTTTTCTGTTATGATTTCTTTCTCCCATGACAGAGTCTTTCCTCAAATGTCTGGTGATCCTCAGCTTGCTTTTACATGTGAAAATGAAGACTGTGTGTGTTGTAGAGGCTGGTGGACTTCACTATGTGGTGAATGGAAGGTGTTCTGGTTACCTAGTGCTCTGACAGGAAATATACCACAAATGAGATGGCCTTAACAAACAGGAGTTTATTCTTACAATTTAGAGGCTTTAAATCCAAGTTCAAAGTGTCAGGCTCTAGGGGCTGGGTAAAAGCTCCTCAACCTTGGGGTCCAGCTATGCCTCCTGCTCCCGGCCCACTGGAGCTAGAGGCGTTTCTTCACTCAGACAGCTCCTGGCTGCTGAAGCTGAGAAGCCCCAAGGTTGACAAGTAAAAAAGGCATAGTCCCAATGTTACCAAACCACACGGCAAGCCATTAACTTAAGTCCATTGTAAGTCTCAAGGTTGACAGAGCATAGCAGACTGCTGACCAATGACATGGCTACATGCAGGGTCCAAGCGTGCCATAGGCTAGAGACCATTCCCAAGGCTTCCCCTATGTACAGGAAGCAGACCACATCCCAAAGGCAGCTACTCAGCTGCTTGTGGTAGATCCCACCATGGAGTTGATTGCCAGTCTCATCATGGGGAATAACCACAACCAGCTGCCCAGCCACTCAACCAGGCCCAGCCAAGTT